GGCGGGCCCCGTGCCGAACTTGGGAGGGGAGGATCTGCTGGAAGCCTTGTGCGAGGGGTGACTTGTTCGATGTCTTTGAAGTACTGGGAGTGTGTCAGGCGGAAGGAGAGCGTGATGGAAAGGGGTGGTGGGAGTTACCTTGACAGTCTTAATATACAGAACAAGGTTGATATCCTAGTACACAGAAGGACAATGAGTTGAGGAGCAAATGCAGGGCGGACAAGGTCCCACATGGAGGTGACCCCTTGCTCGACAATCCGTTGGAAGGGCAAGAGGTTTGGCGGGCACCGAGCGAGAGAACCACAACCTCGCGAGCCTCGAGAACTGTCTAGACGCCCCACGGTCAAAGCCCATCTTTAGCACTTTGTCCAAGTCATCTCCGAAAGAAGCGGCTATTTGCCAAGATAGTACCGTATGCGAGTGTTTTGATTCCGAGTGCGGGAAGCCAGGCTGGAGCCAGGCTCATTGAAGGCGATATGGCCATCCTCGCCCATGCCAGCCAGGAACAGGTCGATGCCACCAGCAGCTTGTATTTTGGCCTCGTACTCGACACACTCGGCCTCGAGGTTGGGGGCGTTCCCGTCGAGAATGTGTGCGTTGTTGGGGTGGATGTTGACGTGGGAGAAGAAGTGTTTCCACATGAAGGAATGGTAGCTCTCGGGATGGTCCCTCGGGATGCCGATGTACTCATCCTACTAGAGCATTAACATTTGCTGCTGTGGCCCAACGATGCAGAACCCGGTTCCTTACCATGTTGAATGTGACCACGTTTTCGAAGGAGACCTACCCAATGTCAGTCAGAGCCGGTATCACCAGGGCTAGCGCCACTATCTTACCTCGCCAGCTTTGTATTTCTCAACGAGAGACTTGTAGACACCCAGTGGAGTGCTCCCCGTCGGGAGGCCAAGGACGAAGGGGTGAGCTGGTGTGGGGGCAAAGTGGTTGATGCGGTCGACGATGTAAGAGGCGACGTGAGTGCTGGCAGCTGCCGCATCGTCTCTGATAAAAAATCTCATCTTGACTTCACGAAGTGGCTGTTCAGATCAAGAGACGTTTAGAATGTAGAGGGATTTAGTGACGAGGCAGGTAGGGTGCCTGGTGTTCGGAGAGGCCTAGCTAGTAGGTAGAGAGCTGAGGGAGGTATCAGGCAAGGAGGACAATAAGAATAAGACTCGTCAACTATGACGACTCTACGTCAAAGAAGGACCCTGGACCAGGCCTGGAACATGTGACGGTTTGCGTAACTGTGAGCCCACCAGCACCAGGCCGGCGCCACCGTTTCCTGTGTGAGACTGGGGATAGCATCGGCCATGATACCAGATAAGCTACCGGGCGTGCCGGGTGTCGATGGACGAGGCGATGGAGGCATGGAGTCACAGATGGAACGTTCTTTGCGTTCCAGTTTCTCTCCCACACAGTGGCAGGAAAGCGTTGTGGACGGAGACAGGCCGACAGGCCCAACGAGTCCGTCGGTGGTGCAAAGCCTTTGATCAGTCAGCTGGTTGGTAACAGGTGACGAGACTGGACCCAATAAGCAGACAGAGAGGGTTTCATGGCTTGGGGTTCCGCCGAATTCGGTCATGGCAAGAGTGAAGCCAAAGAAAAGGGAAAGTCCCACGGGGCTACGGGCCGCATGTGGAAGCCTGGGCACCTAAGGAAGGTACCCAAGGTAGGTAGTTGTGTGGCAGGAGCAACTGTAATTCCATCTCCTGGAGGGCAGTCGCGGCCCACCGACTGGAGTTGACGGAATTTGTACGAAGTATTCGTACGACGCTTTCTTTGCCGCGAGGATTGACTTGGAAACTCAACAACTCAAAATGTTACTATCGTCAACTTGCTCGCCTTCACTAATTAATTTAGGAGGGAGTGTGGTGGATTGAGGCTCTTCTCATCCGCCGGGGGTCTGCAGCTGGCCCAAGCCACAAATTACTTGCAGGCTTGCAGGTCAGTTCCATGCCTCGCTTGATGTTTGGAGGAGTCGCAGTTTCCGAGTGACGGTTCTGGTTCTCATCTGAATTAAGCTTTTGTATGGTCCGTGCACCTGCCAAAAAGAGACACAGCGCCAAGCAGCCGACCAACTGGCTGCTTGCCCCACAACTGCCACTGGCGCCTGGATTGGCCCCGCATTGGACCGAGGCCTGTCCGATCGACAGCGCCTGGCTCCCGTCTGCAACTGGAACTGGCACTGAACCAAGGCAACGTTACGTCCCCTGTGTTCCGGGCGGAGGAGCGCGGCGGGCCACGGCGACAACCCACCACAGCACAACAGCACAAGGCGATGGGCGATACCAGGATCCCTCTCCTTTCCACCGAGCTGGACAAAGGGCTTTTCTCGGCTCTTTTTCGCCTTTGAGGGACGTTCCAGGTTCTAATTGTAACCAAGGCAGTTTAGTGTGGGATTTGGCTTTTTTTTTTTTTTTTTTTGTCGTATTCGTTGTTGCGTTGCGTGGCGTGGCGGGTCAACCATTCCACCATTCCCGCCATTCTCAAACTTACCCGACTCTCACACACACAGTGCATCGCACCGCCTGTTAAGGTAAGGTACCTTAGGTACTGGAGAGTGGAGATACGGGCACCTCACCAAGGTCCTCACGCCTGCCCGGGCAACCTGCAACTCGCCGAGTTCCACAACACGACACAGAACAACCATCCACCTGGATCCCTCTCCATTAACAACCCGCAGCCTGTGACACCAGAGCTTGCCCCTGCCATTGGTTCCGGTCGTTACCCCTGGATTCCCGTCAATCTACCGCCATATCGACCATCTGTCTCACACATTTTGCCTGCGCCCGACCTGGCCCCCCCTTACCGTCTCGTGCCTTTCTCTTACTCTCCCTCGAGTCTCCGTGCGCTGTCCAACCCCCCCCCCCCCCCCTCCGGCCCTCCCCCACTCATACGAGCCTCCCCCCTGCAACCTTCTCTGCTTGTGCTACTTCTGTTGCTTCCTCAGTAAGGGTAGGTCGCGCCGCTGCCCCATCCGCGCGCCTCCCGCTCCTGCACGGCGGCATCCGGCAGGTTTCATTTTTTCCGTGTCAGTCATTTCACGGCCCGGTAGTGGTGTGTTTACTTGGCACGCAGCATGCCAACTGCCAGAGTAAGGTAGTGCGCTGACCTGAGCTGGCCCTCACCAAACCAACAAGGCCGAGTCCAGCCCGACCAGCACGCACCGGCACCCCGTCTACCTCGCCTTCGCCCTCGCCTTGGTCGTCTCTCCTCTCGTCGGATTTGCGGAGTCCCTCCCGGTTGCGTACCCCGTCCCCGGAAGTGCTGCTTCGTATCACTCATTGGAATGTGCCTCCCCTTCCAAACGCCTTCCCTACCCACCACCCCCCTGTAGTGGATGACTTAAAGACAACACGCCTGTCCGCCACCGCTCTCTTCGGGTCTTTCCCTGTCATGTCGGTATGCCACTCGTTTCTGCCATGACGTCGCTAGGAGAGTCTCTCGTTTCGGCCCTTAAGTCCCTCTTTCGCGGCAAGTCGTTTCTCAAGACATTTCTTGCTTTCTGGACCACCCCCGTCGCCCCTGTCGTCCCCATCAGTCCCCAAGATGCCGGGGCCAAGGCCAACGCCGACCCCGCAGCCGACTTCCTCGCCGAGGCCGAGCACCTGCTACTGGGGCATATCGAAGCCGGCGGACTGATGCAGTTTTCACGGAAACTGAAGCGCCAGTTCAGGGAACGCCTACGGTCGAATCCGGAGTGCATGCTGCCCTCGTACAACTCCCAACTACCTAGCGGCCATGAAACCGGCCAATATCTCGCTCTCGACGTTGGTGGGTCGACACTCCGGGTGGCACTTGTGGAGCTCACGGGACGCGGGGTGTCAGGGCCGGAAGGCAGCATCATCCGGATGGACTCGTTCAAGATCGACAGTGACGCCAGGAATTTGAGAGGAACCGAATTCTTCGACTGGATGGCCGAGAGGATACACCGAACCGTGGCCAAGGACAGCGCCAGAGGCCATAGCTCAGACCATCCTCTCCTTCATGGGATTGGCCTGGAGTTTTCTCATTGAGTATGTCTCGGCGTCACTCCGCCACACTACGCAAGCTAACAGCGACAGGCAAACGTCTTCGAAAGGGGGCAAACTCAGTGCCATGGGCAAGGGT